ACACAAGAACATCACTGGGGCAGTTTCACCGGAATCAAGACTCATGATATTACTCGTCTCTCTCTCGCATACTCAACACCCATCAGGAGATAAGAATCCGAATACCATATTTCTTCACTCGTTCAGTTTATTCATGAATGCTCTTGTTCTAACATAAAATATCTAGACCAGTCTATATAACCTCTAACAACAAACCCCCCCCCCCCCCATCCCAAGAAATCATTATAAAAGTAACTGATATGACAACCGCTCCCAAATATCCCCAGAGGGATCATCCCCCGGAGCAGAGACAACATTCCTCGCCAGCTCCGAAGCCACCTGCAACTGCGTCAAGATCCCCCAGCACTGGTGAAACCTCAGCGAACTCTTCCTCTGTACATTCGGGGACCCCTGGTTGACGACCCGCCAATGAAACGTGAGCACCAGAATCAGCAGCGTCGCACACGGACCTGGAAGATATCTCGCCAGATCGAGACTATACACCTCCTCGAAGATGCCGCTGATCTCCGACAGGTAGTGGCGCGTAATTTCGAACTGCCCGGCCGATAAAAGAGGATCCACGAGGACATCCGCTACCGCCAACGATTCTTCGTAATGCACCATATAAGCCATGCTGAGATATAGCAATCGGAGCCAGGTCCGATGCAGGTAAATGCTCCGATCCCATGGGCTCAGGGTCGTGCGCGTGGGGAAGCGATGGTGCACCGCTGGGTGCAGTCGCGTATACCAAAGCTGCAGCTCCTCGCTGGTGGCGGGGATCTGGTTGAAGAACTTCTGGGAGTGGGAGGGGTGGTGTTGAGAGGTGGCTGGGGTGTGGTCGTCGTCGTTACTATTCACCACCATCTCGTGGACCCAGTTCGACAGCCTCGAAAACTCAGAGAGTCGACAGAGGTTGGTTTTCTCGATGAAGACCAGCGCCTGGGTCTTCTGGTGCTCTACACTACTGAGGACGTCGCAATTGCCTGCGACGGCGCGCACCTCCCGAGGGTGCACGCCGAATTGAAAGTCATCGAGCGTCACCATGTCCACTTTGGAAAAGCCTGCGTCGTGGGCTTCGTCTTGGATGCTCATCATTGTAAGCAGCTCCTCCGATGTTAGTCGCGCATGGTTGTAAACGCTCCACCACGTTCTCCGCCAGGCTTGTCGGGACTTATGCGTCATCTCTGCACCCTCGGGGCTCCGATGAAGCCCGATGGAAAAGGAAAGGGAGAGACAGATCCCAATCCAGTGACTGGCGTCTTTCTGGCCTTCTGGCACGTCATTCCAGTGGACCATTAGTAACGCGGCTTGCACCATGGATAAACGGTCGTTCTCGCAGTCTAGCTCAAAAAGGGCCTAGGAGTCATAAGATTAGTTCTTTTTTTTTTTTTTTTTTTGGTTCGAACGTTAAGTTTATGTGGGAAAGACAGAGAGAGAGAGAGAGAACATTTCACGCACTTTGGCTCTGCTAAATAAGACTTCTCTAGCTGCCTTGCGCGACGGATAGCCTTCGTCCCTGATGTGATCGATCTCTACAAACGCCGAGGCGGCGTACATGGCTGCATGGAACAAGAGAAGACTGATCCGGTTCATGCCATCATTATACACAATTGCTTTTAAAAACTCATCCAGGTTCAACACCGGAATCTGCGGGTGGACCCAGAGAATGTAAGCATTCAATAACTCGCCACGAAACTTGGCCGTTGGAAGACATAACGCCCCCTTGCTTGCCAGAAACTCGAGATCGTTTTCATCTAACCGGTCCGGAAGCTCGGCAATATAGTCCGGTACTCCTATGCTCCCGGATGAAAAGGTCGGGCTTGGTTCAAGAAGCTGGTTGACAATGGAGATATAGTTGTCGAGGGGGTTCGTGGCCAACACGGCCGGGTTCTCGACGTTCCGGATGGCCGCATCATGTGCTGTTTTTTGAATCTGAGATGCAAACAGGGTTTCTAGTATGGAATTAGATCGACCAGGTGGGCTGGTAATGGGCGAAGGAAGCCTTTTCCTCACCCTCACAGTAAGTGAATTGTGTCGCGGGCTTTTTCATCTCCATTCTGGACGGAGTCAGCGAATGATTCTGATTTCTCTGGATTCTATATACTTCGTTCGACTTACTCCCGAGTCGCCTTTCCATCGCAAGATCTTTTCTGACGACGGCAGCTGGAACAGGGCACTCCTCGGACCCCAATATAGCAGCGTTGTTTTTTCTTGACGCAGTGTGAGCAGGCCCCGGAATCGGTGGTCCTCGCACGCTGGGGAACATAGTACATGATTTCTTTGGAGAGAAACGTCTCTTAAGATTACACGTAGGATATTTATTCTCCCAAATTTGAAATGATCTGTCGGGGAACCAACAGAAGGTTATATGACGAGATCGTCGCCGCGGAATTCAAATGCCGAGGGGTGGGATCCATCCCCGCCCCCGAAGACTGTGGCTCGGTGCCGAAGTCGATATCTGATATCATGCTTGATACAGGGTGATAGTCCATGGACCCTACTTGGATATAGGTAAATCCCTCATGGAAAAAGACAAGACAACTCAAGTCATCCTTCCATAAGCTGTAAATCATCAAATCATACCATTTTTTGAAGTTTTTCGGCATAAAATGCGGGGGATCTCGATCTGGGATCCCCTTCCTTGTTAAGTATGAGGAACTAGTCAAAGGATCTCAAGTCAAAGCTCAGTTATTATGCACAACATCCTGTAGATTATCCGATAAACTACTGGCCCACCAACAAATCCAGAATCACTTTCCCCTGAGCATGGCCTGTATCCACCCGCCTGAAAGCCTCCCGGAACTTCTCCAACGGCCACACGCTGTCCACCGTCGGCCGACACTTGCCCTCATCGATCAGCCTAGTAATCTCCTGCAGCTGATCCCCCCTCGGCCCCATAATGAAGAACACATCCTTGACGCCCTGCGCCTTGACTCCCTCCGGGCGCGACGGCGCCGGCGGCCGAAAGATACTCAACACGGTGCCTTCATCCTTGACAAACCACCACGCATCCTCCACAGCCTTCTGCCCAATACAATCAACCACCACATCGACTCTCCACTCCTCATGCTCCTCCGCCCACTTCCTCAGATCCGTCACCCGATAGTCCAGCGCCTCTTTCGCCCCTAGCGACTTCACCAGCTCCACATGCTTTGCCCCTCCACACGTCCCAATCACCTCCGCCCCCAGCAACGCCGCCAGCTGCACCACCCAGATCCCCACGCCCCCCGCCGCCGCAGTCACAAACACTTTCTTGCCCGCCCACGCCTTCTCCGCCGCCGCCCAGTCCGCCTCTTTGCCATCAGCGCCGCGCGGCGCGATGCCCGCGTGCACGAAAAGGGCCTGCCACGCCGTCTGCGCGCTGACCGGCACAGCCGCCGCTTCCGCCCAGCTGAGCCGTTGCGGTTTGAGCGCCAGTTCCCCCGTCACACCGATGGTGTAGTCGCGCGCATTCGCGGGCCGGAGGTAGTTGGTGCGCGCATACACCTCGGTCCCCGCTGGGAAGGGAGAGTTCGCCGGCGCGGTCACCACCGTGCCTGCGACATCCGGGCACGGGATCAATACCCGCGACACCGGGGGAGGGAAGTTCTTGTACCAGAGGAGTTCGCCGGCGCAGGGCGAACAGGTGTGCACGCGGATCAGGTGCTCGTTCTCCGAGAGATTGGGCGTGGGTGTTGGAAATATTGTGAGGGTTAGATCATCCGTGCCGGAGTCGGCGGTGGGCTGGAGGATGGTCCGCATGGTTGGTGAAATGGACATTGTTGTGGTTGATGGGTTGAGTAGAAAGAAGTAAGATGTGGGGATTGAATTGGAATTGGTTTTTTTTTTCTTTTTTTCTCTCACTCTCTCTTGAAAGTTTTTGAACAGTCAACTTGATTTTCTCCCCTCCCTTCCTGGAGGGTAATCGGCGTACTTATATTGTCCGAATTTAGATCTTTTCAAGCAAGGGTGCTTGGAGACGGCTTTGCATGCGTGGAGACGTGGCACCAGTCTCACGTCATTTGAACTTTTCTTTCTTTCTTTTCTTCAGGGGTGGTCCAATATAATAGATGACAACAACACGAGAAACGGGTTCTAGATGGATCTCCTGCTCCAAAGCGCAATGAACCCAAGGATTCCTTCAACGGGAATCGGGGGGGTCGGCGCTCGTGGGATTGGTGGGTATAGACCTGAACGCCACCACGGTAATCCGACGGTGCCTCGTGCTACGTTAGACGGATGATTACCCTTTCAACCAGGGGGAGTGATGGTGCATAGTTGGGGATAGTCGTAGTATCAGGCTATTAATTAGCTGAATAGCCTACTCGGGTATCCATTGTTCCTTCATCGCGTCACCAAAGTTTTTGTTGCCTCAGTGGGTCAAGAGGGATCCCTGATCGATCAGGAATTAACGAGTACTAGTAATAATGGGCGTATTAACCCGACAGCTATCCCATGTTCGTGATTAGAATTGTAGGCTGGAATGGAGCATGTCATGAAAGCGGTTTGCGTGGGTTGTGAGTGGTCTGTCGGGTGACAGCGGGACCGACCCGTCCAAATGTTTGCCAATCGCCGTGAAAAGCGATTTTTTTTTTAATTTTTTTTTTAATTCCTCGCAACACCTCATGATATTCCTGATCGTGCTCATGGATTGTATCAATTATCAACTCCAATAGCGACCTTTTCGATGGGAGTATCCGTGTACTGATTTCGTTATTCTGCAAGAGAAATTCCAGATGCATTTGCGCTGACGTGGACGCCACAGTGTCAGAGACATATTTGGTAATGTCAGGCAGGAGGTAGATGCGCTGATGCTCTGGCTTTGCGCGCTAGACCTGGGGAATGGGCCACATGCATCGGTGTGATCAATCCTGTTGATGGAACAAGTCCTCCCTCCTCTATTGGCATCAATAGTGCTGAATAGATTGGGAGGGAAATGGAGACATTTCCACTATCAATCTAGGTAGATGGAGCATTTGGAGGGTGTGAGCTCTCTTAGCAGACAAACACATTCCGCTTTGCCGAGTTCAGTTTCGAGAATTACTCCTGTAGCTTAGTGGTTAGAGCGCCAAGCTTATATGGACATTGTCGATTTCGGCAGCCTGTATGAAACCCTCTTGGAGGTCGGCAGTTCGACCCTGCCCAGGAGTAATAATATTTTTGTCCTTTTTTTTTTTTTTTTTCGTCGGTACAAACAAACAAAACAGTAAAGTAAGTAAGTAAGTAAATAAATAAATCTATATAACGTATTCGGTAAGCCAGTGGGCCACGCAGGCGAGCGGGCCACCTCTGTATCCAATACTAATTCATCATTTTTTGAGCTCCAATATCTTAACTAAACTGTACCTAAACTACTTCAGATTCAGGAATTAGTATATTAAAGTAGACTTCATCTTGCTATTGAAATATTAAGGGAAATATACCAGTATATCTTCAGGTAAAATATATTACATTGTATTTTTTGGTAATTTATTTTAAACTGATATTATAAGTTTACTATTCATATCTATATACTCATAATAAAGGAATATCTTATAAAAGTCTATCTCTAGCTCTATATAAAATTCTATAATAACCAAGCCAAAGATGGTTGAGATATTAGATCTCAAAAAATGATGAATTAGTATGGGATACAGAGGTGGCCCGCTCGCCTGCGTGGCCCACTGGCTTACCGAATACGTTATATATTTATTCTCTCTGTCCATTACTAAACTACTCCCTCCACCTACTTACTACCTACTACTATATATATATTATCCATCTATCTCTTAACTGAGAAGGACTTGCTGAGTTGTATGTTCGTTAATGAACGGTTTGTAAGAAGATAAGGAAGGTATGGATAACAAACAGTAAGAAAGAACTCGAGCTTGACTATGGTGTGCGGGTTACTACTTACGGTCCATCTGTTCGAAAGATCGTAAAATCGCCACCGCCGTCAAAATATCCTCATTGTAAACCCTAGCTTGACTCTTTGGATAGTTGAATCAAGGAGGATATGCATACCGGAGGATTGGTCCAAACATATATGTTTCGCTGATAAGGATAAAGCGGATTATCTTCATCGTCTCTAGGTGTAGACTTTTGTTTGTTTTTCAATTTCAGTTAGTTCCTTGCTTTCTCAGCAATGTTTGATCCCGCATGAGTAGACGGAGGAAATATCCAGTAATCCCTGTCATCGAGGGACGATCTTATGCAGTTTTGATCCAGTCGATCTGCTTCTATTTCACCGAAAGACCGCATGAAATTCCGTCCGTACAGAGAGCATCATATTAAAGCCAGTTCCCTCCCCATGTGTAGACACAACCCACATTCAGGGTTCCTGGATTTTCCCCCCGGGGTGTTACTATGGTATGTTCATCTTTTGAGCGTAAGTTAATGGTATGCTGTTGACATTGACCAGTCATCGATCGTATCCCTTCTCTCGTCGTGGGGCGCTTCAGCTTCCACCACGCAGATCCTCAATGAATTTGCATCACCTCCCACACACACTCGACCATACATAAGATGGTGGTGGCCACACGGCCTCGTGGAAATCGACGAAATCCGGCGCGAAGTGAGCCAGATTGCTGACGCCGGATTCGGAGGCATCGAAATCCAGGACGTGCATAACAGCATTGAAGCGGGAACCGACATCGAGTCCCACAGCCATGGATGGGCCACAGAGCCATGGATAAACGCGGTGCATGCGGCTCTCGACGAAGCAAATGCGCACGGCCTCGCGCATGATATGGCGCTTGGCCCATGTTGGCCCGTTGGGGTTCCGACATACGGCCCAGATGATGAGCCAGCCGCAAAGGAAATCGTTCTGGGGAAGGAGTTTGTCGTCGCAGGAAACAAGTATGATGGCCCAGTGCCTCCGCCGTTCCAGGAGCCGAACGATAATGTGAATGAGCAGGCGCTCTACGCGGTGCAGGCGTGGAGGGTGAGCGATGCAAGTACTAATGTGACGGCTATCCCGGTGTATCTCGAGTATGGGTCGATGATAGATCTGGCGGAGGATGTCACGGGGGGCTCAGTTTCGTTCACTCCTCCGGATGATGCGACGTGGCTGATCTTCTCGACCTACGTCCGTGGATCCGGCCAGCAACCAGAGGGATACCCCCATACCGACCCCCTGACATATGTGGTGGATCATTTCAGCCAAGCCGGCGTGCAGCCTGTTTTCGACTATTGGGAGGAGCACCTGCTATCCGAGGAGTTCCTTTCCTTGATATCGAAGACCCCCACGACCTTCATGGAAGACTCCATTGAGCTGGAGCAGGTGTCTTACTGGACCCCTGGGCTTCCTGCCAAATTTGAAGCCCGCCACGGATACGACGTGCGCACGATTCTGCCCATAGTCACCCAGTACGAAGACGAGGAGTTTCTGTTCGAATTCGCAGACGCCGAATCCACTCGGGCGGCTCTGAACGACTTCTATGATCTCCTCGGCCAGCTGTACCGGGAGAACCATCTTCAGCCCATGAAGTCGTGGGCCAACAACCTTGGAGTCCAATACCGAATCCAACCCTACGGCATCCCGCAGATGGACGGAATCCAATCTGCCGCGGAAGTCGACATCCCCGAGGGCGAGTCTCTCGGCTTCGGCGCTGTAGACAACTATCGTTCCCTAGCGGGAGCCGCCGTGATGGCCAATTTGTCGCGCGTATCCAACGAGCTGGGCGCATATTCGCATGCCGCGTATGCGACAACGTGGGCGAAGATCCTCGCAACCGTGAACCCGGAGTTTGTGGCCGGGGTGAGTCAAAACGTGCTCCATGGCATGTCCTACCTCGATGCCCCCGGTTCGGTGTGGCCGGGCTTTGCGGCGTTCACGCCAATCCATGGGGATGAGATTGGGTATGCGGAATCCTGGGGGCCTCGACAGCCAGCGTGGCTTCATGCGCCGGACTTCACGGGCTATATGGGGAGGGTGCAGTATATTCTGCAGCGAGGGGTTGGAACCCACGACTGCGCTTTCTTGCGCCAGAATGGCGATGTGGATTCGGACTACATCCCGCCGTACTTCACGTCAGAGGGCGCGGGGGTCGGCTGGAGCACGGTTTTTATCGATGAGGCGTTGTTGAACTCGTCCGCTGCCTCTGTCCGCGGGGGTCGTTTGGCGCCGGAAACGGGCAACTTTAGCCTGGTTGCGATTGAAGCTGATCCATTCGGTAACGGTCAGGCAATCCTGACTGAATCGGCAGCAGACACTCTTTATGGATTCGCAAAGGCCGGGCTCTCAATCCTGATGGTCGGGGACTGGGAATCACCACGGAGCTACAGCCTCGGTGCAAACTCGTCTTCTGCGTCGATTGCAGAGACAGTCAAGCGCCTTCTGGAGCTGGATAATGTGGTGAATGTCGCGGGTCCAGATGAAGTCCCTGCTGGTCTTCAACGGCTTGGGATAGCTCCTGTCGTGGAATATGACCAGTCGGCTTTGATCCATACGCGCCGCAAGGATGGGGATCTGGATCATTACTTCTTTGTTTCCAACTCTTCGTCAGAAAGGGTAGATCAAACTGTGTCTATTCCGACCAGACATGCCAATGTGGTCCCTGTCCAACTCGACCCGTGGACGGGGAATGCTACAGTTCTCCCCGTTTATTCCGTCGCTGATGGCCGATTGCATATTCCCATCACCCTCCAGCCGTACCAATCCTCTTTAATCAGCGTTGTCCCGTTGTCCGGACCAAACACTCAACACGCCGTGAATTCAACAGCTGATTCGGTCATCTGGGAGCCTGGTACTGGCCGGTTGATCGTTAGGACTACAGATCCCGGCAGCGTCACGACCACATTGAACAATGGAGAGACTTATAAAACGACGCTGGACGCCGCGTTACCCGAGCTGGATCTGTCAAATTGGGAACTGACGGTAGATGACTGGCAGCCCGCGGACGGGGATGGCACGACAGGCAATATCACCGCTACCAAATACGTGCGACACACTCTGACCCTCACGTCTCTTACCGATTGGACCGCCATCGAGGACCTTCAAGACGTGTCCGGAAATGGAACCTACTCGACTACGTTTACTCTCGGGACGACTGAAACGCCGTATTCCAACCGTACAGGCGCATACCTGGCGCTCGAGAAATTCAACGGCTCATTCAGAACGAAAGTCAACGGGATCAGCCTGCCTGCGTTGGATCAAATGGCCTTACAATATGACATAAGTCAGTGGTTGAAGAACGGATCGAATTCCATTGAGATTGAAGTGGCCACCAGTCTTCTGAATCGCATGAGGATTGTACAGCCCGATATCTACACACCGGATAGACAAGCGTTTGGCTTGCTCGGGGTGCGAATAAAACCGTTTTCACAAGCGTATCTCAGCTAGTTGCAGGTATTACTTACTTTCTGGCCTCAATTGAAACTTCGAAGTTGCGTGTATCTACGCCGAATAGCCTCCATCCACCACGAGCGTAGACCCACACATATAGCTACTCATGGGCGAGGCGAGGAACAAAACCACATTGGCGATTTCTTCTACCTCCGCCGGCCGGCCGAGGGCTGCGTGATCTACTTCGGTTTGTAGGCTCCCGTCGGCAATCCAGTGGTGTATAAGCGGCGTGTCCACATAACTAGGCATGTTGTCAATCGGATAGGACAGGACCACTAGTCGGCCCTCCACTTGTAAGGCGAGAACTTACCCGGGGCAGATTGCGTTGATGCGGATTCCATCTTTGGCGTATGCTCTGGCATCCTACGAGAGAGTATCAGGTTAGACTTGAGGAGAAGAACCAGGGGGGGAGATCCATACATTTTTAGTTATTCCATTGACCGCTAGAGCGTTGATGGCGTTAGCTCTATTATTATAGATGGTAGGGAGTAAGTAGTAGTATGTATATATATAGAAAATAAGCAACAATACCATGTTTTGCAGCCGTGTAGGCCACATTCCCAAGACTAGATCGGGTAGTCACACAACCCAGCGCCGACGAGATATTGACAATTGTGCCCCGATCGCCATGCTTTCCACGCGGTCTATGCGGTAAGGTAGTTAGTAGAAACCCCCAAAGTAAGGAAGAGGCAGAAGAATAACTCACTCTTGCGCCAACATCTGCCGAACGATCCATTTCTGGCATACCAACAGCCCAGTCTGGTTGACATCAATGACCTTCTGCCATTCGGCGATGGGGAGTTCGTGTGTCTGAGCCGGTATCTGC